GTGTCAGAGACACGGTGTCAGAGACACGCTGTCAGAGACATGGTCTCAAAAATACGGTGTCAGAGACACGGTGTCAGAGGAAAGGATTTAGCAGCTGCGTAGAGATGCTGTTCATCACAGCCTCTGCAGGGCTGCCAACCTTGTGCCGCGCTGCACGCGGTTGGTGCCTCCGTAGACTGCCAAGATGGTTGCTGTCACAAATTTCTGACACTTAACATTACCAAAATTAGTTCGTGTTCTCCGTATCAACGTGAAGTCTGAAAAATTATTTTTTGTATAATTATTCAGTTTCGGTTTTCCAACAATTAGCATTCGAATTTAAAAACGACGTGAGCAGCGTGATTTAACAAGAAACATTTGTAATAGAAACTTTTTATGATAACAATTGCTAGTTGATAAATTATCATGTTATTATAAATATTTTATAACAGTTGCATAAAAATTACCGTCAATGGAAGTATGTGTATAATGGATCTTCAAGGCTCGATCTTATTCTACTCAGACTGTAGCGGTGGACACGTTATCTTACGGTTGTCAGGACACCTCTCAGGCCGGTCTCTGTAGTTTGTGCACAGCTATTCGTATAATTACCAGGGATCGTGCGAGGCGTACGAAATTAGTAATTACTCAGCACGAATTATGTGCGTATCATCTCTACGCCAATAAATTCTTCTTGAAAGATGAAGAGTTTATTCTTGGTAATGGCATGCAATTGTCAAGAAGAAAATTATAAGAAGAAACTTAGAAGAAACTTAGAAGAAATTTAAAAGAAACTTACGGGAGGAAGAAAAAATTACCATCAAAATCATTAACATACATCAACATTAAAAGCGTGCTGTAGTCTTTGTCAGAAGACTGTAGCAATTTGTAAGTTTGTTAGGTGATGCAATGACTTAATTACCTCGCCTGAGAAGCGTAAAATTGCATGGCTCTAATTGAATTTCGAGACCAAATCTAAAGTGAGCAGAAATGAATAAATACGTCTAGACATTAAGTTGAACTCTAAATTGCCAAGCTTTAAAAATTACCATTCATATAAAGTTAGGGATTGTTTCAAAATTCACACAATCTGCTTTCACGCGCAGTGTGAAGTTTTCACGGGAACTTCCTGATTTTAAAGCCAAATAAAAAAGAACGAGTGAAGATGTCATTAAAATATAAATTTTATTGAAAAATACATCATCTAAATTTTGTAATGACGGCCCAAATTGGCAATGTATTCAGGAAGTCGATTTTTGAAGTTCCTAAAGCATATTGACGGGTATGTTGGCGATGGCTTGACGAATGTTGTTCTTCAAATGAGGTAGGGTCAATGTAAACAATTGATTTGAGGCCAAAGAAGGTCATTCGTACCTAACTACTATTCGAAATCCTCAGAATCGCTGAGTGTTTACGCGCCGAACGGTGTGGAGAACGCAGAAACGCCTTCATAACTCTTTCTACGTTTTCGGCTGTTTTGGCAGTTAGTTGACCTCCATGCCCTCTTGCATTCACACTTCCTCTTGCCCTAAATATGTTCACCCACGTAACAATCGATTTCCTATCAGGAACCCGACCTGAGGGACGAATGCGGAGCCGAGTGCGGAGTGTTGGTTGAGTAGCAATAATGGAACAGCCCTGCAGAAAAAGATAGCAGTAAAAAAAGTACGCATCGACAGCAAACGCATGCTGCTCACTTGTCCAACGCATAATGACAACTGACTAGGCGGGACACAAAACATCATAACTTTGCCTCCGCCCTTTTCATACGACATCTGGCTGCTCGCGCGAAATGCAAAACATGAAATTTCCGTGAATCACCAGGCCTGTACTACTCTAAAGCCATATCAACAGCATTGAAGTTTCAGGAGTCATTACGAACAGGAAAAATTCGGTTAGTCGAGACTAGGACCACTTTTAGTGAAGGAGAGTAATTTGATATCGTGAATTGCTGCTGTGAATAGAACATAGGGATCTGTAAACTTGATTTTTCTTCAGTTTTCTAAAAAACTGTATTATTACGAATAGTGTGGAGAAGTGTAAACATGATTTTTCTATATTTTTTCTTTGAAAGCCCCTGAATTATTTCCCTGAGGGAAGTTCTCTTAATAATTTTCAAGGTCAAATGCACGAATTCCAATCGAAAGTATTTGTGATAATTGATACTTTTCATAATTGAAAATTGAAAACTTCAATTTAAATTCTAACGCAATGCTACAATTTTCTTATAGCTGTTTTCGTGAATATCGCGTGTGATTTATAAAATTTGAATGAATTTAAAATGAATAAACAACGTCATTTACTTGATATTCTGTAAGGGCTTCGACAAACCATTCATGAATAATAAAAATTTGCAGAGGTACATCGATGGTATATGTATGATAAACTTAATAAAAAGTTTCGTAAATCATTTGGCAATTTCTATATAGATTCGTGATCGTGACGAGCCACACATATGCTGGCGATCTGTTCTGTGATTGGTCAGATAGTTCAGCACACAGAGGTGCGTCTCAGAAGCGTGTGACGTACATACAAAATGATGCTCTATGTCTCGCGTTTATTAATATTTATTATTTATATTAATTTGTCTTCACCTTTTAGGTGCAGACTAACTAAATGCATTAAGGAATGCTGTTTTAAATATTCATGTAATTGTTCTCCTCTTTTTTTACTCCTACGTTTACCCGTGCAATAAACTTTTTTTCGGCAGAAAGCGTAGGGATGAGAATAAATTCGTTCAAATCGAGGGATCAAAAAGATGGAAAGCGCACCAAAACCAGCTCCAGATTATTTACCAAAACAATGCATTCGGTTCATTTCAGGTGTAAATTACCTACCTGTAATGGACTAATTATACAGTAGCTCAAAAGCTATAAACGGTATGCATCTGTGTAAGGTTTTCGCTTCATGTTTCAGTTAGATGAGCGTCAGTGCGAGTTTCAAATCTCTGAGAGATCCGAGCATCTGAGAGGTTCAAATCTCCTTGAGGTATGTGTATCTGAGAGCTTACAAACTACGAGATATTTCTTAGTTTCTTATACGTCTTGGTCTATTTTGGGCTCATGTTTCTTAAAGGTTACTTCCTCCGATAAATTTAATAAAGGTTACTTCCTACGACAAAATAAATTTATTTCTCCGATAGGCTCAAGTCTCTAAAAATATATGAATTAAGTCTTCACGTCTCTCGATCGTTTGGTTCGTGCCACTGAGGGCTTCACATTTCTGAAGGCAATCAGAAATTCATCGCTAACTCGCATACAAATTTATGAGCTGCTAGAACGTGAGTGCAAGCCTCGCGCGTCTGCTACTTTGTTGCACGCATAGTAATGAATATCAGACATGTCCATCACGCTCGGCCATCACGACTCATGTCCAGCAGCTTGCTCGGCCATCACGCCTCATGTCCAGCAGCATGCACGGCCATCACGCCTCATGTCCAGCAGCTTGCACGGCCATCACGCCTCATGTCCAGCAGCTTGCACGGCCATCACGCCTCATGTCCAGCAGCTTGCACGGCCATCACGCCTCATGTCCAGCAGCTTGCACGGCCATCACGCCTCATGTCCAGCAGCTTGCACGGCCATCACGCCTCATGTCCAGCAGCTTGCACGGCCATCACGCCTCATGTCCAGCAGCTTGCACGGCCATCACGCCTCATGTCCAGCAGCTTGCACGGCCATCACGCCTCATGTCCAGCAGCTTGCACGGCCATCACGCCTCATGTCCAGCAGCTTGCACGGCCATCACGCCTCATGTCCAGCAGCTTGCACGGCCATCACGCCTCATGTCCAGCAGCTTGCTCGGCCATCACGCCTGATGTCCAGCAGCTCGTACGGCCATCACGCCTCATGTCCAGCAGCTTGCACGGCCATCACGCCTCATGTTTACTTGTGTGGGTGTTGTATTTGTTGTGTATGGTAAAGTTTAATGTATGGTAGTTACCTAGCAGGCAAGTAGCCAGTGAACGAATGGATAAACAAGTTAGCACTGAATGGAAAAAGCACATTCACTGCAAAGATCAGTGAAAGCAATAATGCACTTCACAGCTGCTAAATAAAAATAATTTGGCACTTCGCATCCGCCTAATGGAAGCATATGCGCCATTCATAGCTGACTAATGGAAGTAAGTGTGCACTTCATAGCTGCCTAATGGAAGTAAGTGTGCACTTCATAGCTGCCTAATGGAAGTAAGTGTGCACTTCACATCTGCCTAATGGAAGTAAGTGTGCACTTCACATCTGCCTAATGGAAGTAAGTGTGCACTTCATAGCTGCCTAATGGAAGTAAGTGTGCACTTCATAGCTGCCTAATAGAAGTAAGCGTGCACTTCATAAACGTGCACTCATGTCGCAATAAATCGTATCAAGTATCTGTTCATAAGCCAGCTCTGTTGCTCCCGATAAGTCCGCGGTGTTTGAGACCAGCATTTAAATATCTTCAGTCGGCTGCAACGATCAGCACTTATTCATAGGTGATCTTCAAAACCGATAGACTGGAAAAAAAATGTGGCAAAAAAAACTCTTTAGAGTTTTGCTATTCAATAAAATTTGCGTATTTTGGTGTACTAATTGCAGGTACAGAGTGCAGATACTAGGGCAGGTACAGAATGCAGGTACAGTACAGGGTGCAGTTACAGTACAGGGTGCAGGTACAGTACAGGGTGCAGCTACAGTACAGGGTGCAGGTACAGTACAGGGTGCAGGTACAGTACAGGGTGCAGGTACAGTACAGGGTACAGGTACAGTACAGGGTGCAGGTACAGTACAGGGTGCAGGTACAGTACAGGGTGCAGTTACAGTACAGGGTGCAGGTACAGTACAGGGTGCTGGTACAGTACAGGGTGCAGGTACAGTACAGGGTGCAGGTAGAGGGTGCACTTCAGATGAGGATGAATAAGTTAAGTTATTTAAACGAAATTAGCACATGTATAAAGTTTCAAGGATCAGTGAATCGCAAGTGCTTAGTGTAAATTATAAAATTTATTATTAATAAGTAAATTTAAGTTTATTTCAACCGGGCTAATCATGAAAAGTGATCGAAGGATTTTTGTAGAGGAAAATAAATACTTCAAAGAGGAAAATCAAATAATGTTTTCTATGAAAAATGTCTTAGAGATTCTAAATGCTTAATTGAAGTCAAGACCAACATTTTTATTCGTCAAAAATTCTTCGAGATAAAACGTAGATTACAACATTGAAATTTACTCATAATCCATTATATTCTAATCATGGCAATACGAATGAATGCACCAGGTTGAAAATGTCAACAAGAGGTTTCAGGCTGACAGTCGCACGGCCGCCATCTTGGATGACCTCAAAGTCCCGGATGACGTTGAGGTCATGGAGTACGCTCAACATTGAGTCCATGAGAGCTAAGAAAATAATTACATTCATATTTCAAATTAACATTACTATGAAAAGGCTAAACTGTTTCTCCACATGTTAACTTCCAGGGACAAATTTTAAGGGTAAAATAATTAATAATATTTGCATAGTACATAATAGCTCCTCGCGGAATATTTACATAACACAATAAGCCTTTATAATATTTTTCTAACATTACAGCCTCCACAGAATACTTTCATGATAAATGCTAACATAAGGCTAAATATTTTCATAACATATCATAATATTCACGCACCTCAAATAGTGTATTTTCATAATATTTCATACGTTATTAAATACTCTTGAACTAATCGAGTGTTGTACTTTGAATAATTTTAAACGTGTCTCTTCATTCACTCGCAATGAATCTAGTGACTTGTCACGTACGCGGTCATTCAAATTTATTCATGCACAATTAAACAAGAAACTGATGAAAAGAACTTACTTCGGTTGGAAGAATTTGTGAATGCCGGTAGCATCTGAAAAACATAAAACATATTTTTTTTCAAACAATTTCATATTAAAATTTCATTCAATTTTCATATTAAAATTTCATTCATGCCAAGCGTATGAAGAAGGTCTACACTCTACATAAACCGATAAGGCAGCACCTGCAATACATAAAACATTTTTTAACACAATTTTCATATTAAAATTTCATTCCATTTTCATATTAAAATTTCATTCATGCCAAGCGTGTGAATAAGTTTTACATTAACCGATTATTTTGAGATATGCAATATCAATTAAACTTAAATTTCACCGAGAAATTCTGAGACAAATCAATTATTTTCAATGCACGAAATTGTATAAGATCGGAGACTTGATGCCCCGTAAAATTTTTCATTCTTATTTAAATTATAAATAAATAATAATGAACATATTTTACATTTTACATAAGAAATATTTAATATTAATTATTTTGAGGATATATGAAGCTCAGAAAATATTTGAATCCTTATTTCAGGGAATATGCTGATCCTGAGCTGAGGGATTATTCAATTATTGGGAATATCAGCACGCTTTAGTAAACATCAAATTTAATTGCACAGTGACAGGCTTACATTGTTCGAGAATTAAAAATTGAAAACAGCAGTATAAATAATAAAATAATAATAATATATAATAATATAAAATATAATATTATATTATAATAATAGTAATGTTATTTTCAAATTATAGTCCAAAATATCAGCGGTTCATAGCAGCAAAATTTTTTAACGTGAACCTGCAGCATCGTCAGCAGCTGCAGTTGTTCGTCGTCAGTTAGACCCAGACTCGCTGACAGCAACTGCCATGCAGTTGTGCAGTTGTTATCTTCACATCCCAGTGCCTGGACGAATGGAAAAGCAAAACACATTTTAGAATTTTTCCATACACTCAATATTTTGAAATTTTCGTGTTCTTGAGGGCTGATATGCTTGCAAGTCGAGACATCAGAATTAATGTCTTGGTTATTGAGAGCCAGAAATATTTACGAATTTTATACGCCATAAAACTACACACATTACAAATGATAAATGTACAGAGTCCAGGTACTAAGTGCAGGTGCAGGGTGTGTGTCATGTACTAAGTGCAGGTACAGGGTGCAGGTACAGGGTGCAGGTACAGGGTGACTGTACAGGGTGACTGTACAGGGTGACTGTACAGGGTGACTGTACAGGGTACAGTTACAGGGTACAGATGCTGGTTCATGGCGCCGTTATTAACTAATAAACTCATAAGATTTTTAACTTCAGTATTTATCACAAATATCTGAACAGTAAGAGCGAGTTACCCACCAAGCGGAAGAACCTCACAAGCCCCAGAAAATTGTCCCCCAATTTCTGGGGCTGGAACACCCGCCACGTGAGCAACGTGTGGGAGTCCCCCACCGCGGGGCTGGTGGGAGGGTGGGGGAGGATGTGGACCTCCCCCAGCGGTGGGGGCGGGGGATCGAGAGGAGCGAACAGGTTCCTTTCTGACACTAGGGGAGTAATGGACGTTAATGGTTCACATCTGGGGGAGTGATAGATGTTAATGGTTCACATCTGGGGGAGTGATGGACGTTAATGGTTCACATCTGGGGGAGTAATGGATGTTAATGGTTCACATCTGGGGGAGTATGGATGTTAATGGTTCACGTACAAGGGAGTAATGAATGTTAATGGTTCACATCTAGGGGAGTAATGGATGTTAATGGTTCACATCTGGGGGAGTGATGGACGTTATAATGGATGTTAATGGTTCACATCTGGGGGAGTAATGGATGTTAATGGTTCCCATCTGGGGGAGTGATGGATGGTAATGGTTCACATCTGGGGGGAGCAATGGAAGTTAATGGTTCACATCTGGGGAAGTAATGGATGTTAATGGTTCACATCTGGGGGAGTGATGGATGTTAATGGTTCACATCTGGGGAGTGATGGATGTTAATGGTTCACATGTGGGGGAGAATGGATGTTAATGGTTCACATCTGGGGGAGTATTGATGTTAATGATTCACATTTGGGGGAGTATGGATGTAAATGGTTCACATGTGGGGGAGTATGGATGTTAATGGTCCACATGTGGGGGAGTATGGATGTTAATGGTTCACATGTGGGGGAGTGATGGATGTTAATGGTTCACATCTGAGGGAGTGATGGATGGTAATGGTTCACATCTGGGGGAGCAATGGAAGTTAATGGTTCACATCTGGGGGAGTAATGGATGTTAATGGTTCACATCTGGGGGAGTGATGGATGTTAATGGTTCACATCTGGGGAGTGATGAATGTTAATGGTTCACATGTGGGGGAGAATGGATGTTAATGGTTCACATCTGGGGGAGTATTGATGTTAATGGTTCACATGTGGGGGAGTATGGATGTAAATGGTTCACATGTGGGGGAGTAATGGATGTTAATGGTTCACATGTGGGGGAGTATGGATGCTAATGGTTCCCATGTGGGGGAGTAATGGATGTTAATTGTTCACATGTGGGGGAGTATGGATGTTAATGGTTCACATCTGGGGGAATGTTGGATGATACAAGTTTCGTTCCGAAAAAGCATGCCATCAAAGTGACATCATTAATATTTGTTTAGGTCATAATGTCTAAGGTCATTATGTTTATGTCTTTAGGTCATTATGGCTATGCTTAATAATGCAGCTAGAGGTCATTATTAGCTTCTTTACCTGCTTCATTATTACTTGTAGGTTATAAAAATGTTTAGAACTGTTGTCAGAATTAAGGTTAGTGATTTTTGATCGTGAATTAAGTGGTTATTTATAAATACAAAAAAATAGATGATGAGTGCGATAGATTTTGCTATCTTATGCCGATGTTATTAATGCTGAATAATGAAAATATCAATGAATACAATTAGTATATTTATAGGTACGAACTCATCACTCTCACGACATTTCATCACTTCAGAAATGTTTATTCACCTTCAAGCTTTGCTTCAGAAAACCGCGTAAAGTTTTGCTGAAACTGAAGCCTGAGCTTCAGCTGAAGCTGCCACGCCCGCAGCGGACGCTGCCACGTGACGCTGAAGTCTGTGCCTTCAGAGAAGTTCAGGTGAAGCTTCAGCGGGCCTTCCTGAAGCGTGAATATAGTAAATATGTGAGGAAATATATAATAATGCATTCACTTAATATACAGTAATGCATTCACTCAATATACAATAATGCATTCACTCAATATACAATAATGCATTCACTCAATATACAGTAATGCATTCACTCAATATACAGTAATGCATTCACTCAATATACAGTAGTGCATTCTCTAAACATCCAGCTATCCATTCACTAAATATATATACAGCAATGTACTCAATATACAATAATACATTCACGGTTGCACATTTGTCGCAGTACTGTACATGTTTCATTAATTACATTTATTGCACATTTTTACATCAAATAAATTGCATTGTATATATATCACTAAACACAATGTATTGTATGGAACACAACCTGCTGGTTGTAGAAACTGAATGTTTTGGTGTAGCGCTGGAGGAGGCTGGCCCCCCACGCCCCCTCCACTCCCATGGAGGTGCGCCCCCCCTCCATCGTCACCACCTCCCATCCCCCGCCTCCAGCGCTCACGTGGAAAACTTCTGCACGGAAAAACGCAGAAATTAAATGAAAATGTCAGTATATTTTTTTCAACAATAGCGATATCATCATCAATATCGTCATCATCAGTATTATCATCAGTATCATCAGTATCATCAGTATCATCAGTATCATCAGTATCATCAGTATCATCAGTATCATCAGTATCATCAGTATCATCAGTATCATCAGTATCATCAGTATCATCACTCAACGCTGAAGCGCGTAGTCGTATTCCGGGAAAGCGTCGCTCGACGCTCGCTGCTCGATGGCGGCCACCACCGCCCCCCCGCTGCCTGGGGGGGGGACGCGTAGGGGTTAAAGGGGATCATTAATAAATGTATTTATTAAGTCATTCTGGGAAAATATAACGGGGGATTTATTATATAAATAAATATCCTTATATTTGCTTATACCACTCACCAACCACCACTCACCTACCACCACTCACCCACCACCATCACTCACCCACCACCACCACTCACCCACCACCATCACTCACCCACCACCACCACTCACCCACCACCACCATGTTGCTGCGGGTGGTGTAGGCGGCGCTGGTGTATGAGTGACGTACGACGTGCGTGACGTCATCAAGAGACGTGAGGCCGAACACGTCGTGTAACCTCCGCCTCTCATCGTCATCCAGTATACTGCCTTCCACTGCATCGTCATCCAGTATACTGCCTTCCACTGCATCGTCATCCAGTATACTGCCTTCCACTGCATCGTCATCCAGTACATTTTCTTCTACTGCATTGCCTACTGCATCGTCATCCATTATACTGTCTTTCACTGCACTATTCACCGCGTCTGCCAGTACATTGTTTTCGTACATATTATCTTCCTTCTCACCATTGCTATTTTGCCCATAATTCTCACAAATTCTTCTTCCCTCGTTATCAGCGTTGCAATTCCCACGTTCGTTTCCATTATCATCGTTTACTGGAAAATCTTCACTACTAATTCCAGGATTTGGAGCGATTTTCTCGTACTGGAAGGATCCGATGATGTTGCGCGATGATGAATGTTTTAATGTTCCTTTAATGACATTCATCCTTAGTTCCTCATGAATGTTGGCGCCAAACAAACGATGTTTTGATGTGGACTCAAATATTAACTTCAAAGCAGGGATAGAAAATACGTTTTTCCTGAAATTCTTCGTTTTGCCTCTCGTCGATTTCTTAAGCCTGGAATTATGCATAATTTTACAATTTATCTAAGTAATGCGCTAATTAAATAATTGCATTATTTACGATTACACAAGACAACAAATAAATAGTAACTAACTAATTAATACCGCGGTTGATGTTGCATTGAATTATGTACAATTCTACATGACAAGAAATTATTAAACTTTAATTAATTAGTCCATGTTTAATGAAGCACCGCTGGAAAAAAACATTAATTTTTATTTTCTTTACGAAGCTTACGAACTTCGTTAACTAGTGAACCTAAGGTAAATGCAGCGAATAAATTAAATTCAAAAAATAAAAAACTATTCTTGTAAATGTTATGTACTCTCTCTCCTTACGGTATATTATTTACATTGTACTTATCCATAAAAATTTTATCGAAAACTTTACATGGAAGTGGAGAATACAATTCAATGAGACTTATACAAATTCTATATTTGAATTTAAATTAAAAAATGCCATTTTACACTCAGGAAAATGAATAGGTATACTGTCCAAATAATGACGCACTGATGCGCCCTTGCTCCGGGCCAAACTACACTGGAATAAGCCACACAAATGTAAAAGTCCATCGTTATTTGAATGGACTTTTCGTTTTTTTTTTCGTTAACATCGTTATTTGGACACCACCTCACTCATTTCTCTGCATGTCGCATATTAGTCACCTCCTCCCGGTGCTCCATGGTGCCGTCAGCTGCAGGTACTCCAGCCTGGAGCGCTGTGCCTGCGTCACGGTCACGGATGTGGCGACTATGTACAGTATTTCTTTGTTACAAATATAACGCGTTTTTTCCAGTTGTGACGACCAGTCCATTTCATGACTATGACAATCTTTTGCTACGTTTAAGGAGTTCTCAGCAACCCCAATATCTGGGGGTGAAATGAGGCCTTCTCGGTCATAAAACGCTGGGTTATTTTCCTCAGTACTGGGGCTAGAGTTGGGAAGATTCCGGTCCGTTTCGTCGGAATTTCGGTCCATTTTGCTGTGGTTTTGGTCAATTTTGTCGGGGTTGCGGTCCGTTTCGTCGGAATTTTGGTCCATTTTGTCGGGATTTTGGTCCGTTTTGGCGGGATTTTGGTCCGTTTTGTTGAGATTTTGGTCCATTTTGTCGGGATTTTGGTCCGTTTTGGCGGGATTTTGGTCCGTTTTGTTGAGATTTTGGTCCGTTTCATCGTCGTTCCGGTCCGTTTCGTCAGGATTTAGGTCCATTCCATTGACGTTCCGGTAATAATTTGACATGCTAAGACCAGCCGAAAATGACTCGCGGTTCTCAGCTGTCACATCAATTGCTTCGTGATCACATAAGATAGAACTAATCAGGTCGCCCAGTAAAACCTCAACATGTTTTTCACAATCAAAGGTTTCGCGAGCATTTCGAGGTGGAGTTTGGCTCGAAAATTCAAAATTTGTTCGCATTTTTTGGCAGTGTAACTTCTTGGAGACGTCGGACATCGTTTCTTTGCTGTACACTATGGCAATATTGTTCTCGGTGTTTTCCAGTTTCCATTCAAAAATTTCAGTTGATGCATCGCAGAAAATCTGTAAATAATCGTCCTAATTTAACAATATTTTGTAATGATTCAGAATAACGTATGTCAAAGTTAATACTGGTATTTTGTATCTATTATAAGCCTTGAGAGATATACAACTCCACAAACTCCAACTGCATTCCACAAATAATATTCAAAAGCCAATTCGCGATAAAGCCTTTCATCCAGAATTCATATTTTGTGATTTAACCCACGACATTTATGAGTGGGCATTGACGACATCGAAAAAAAAAAGTAAAGGAACAAAGTTGGTAATCCAGAACAGTTATAATGATCACGACTTTACATGAATAAAAGTTTACAACCTGGAAAAGTAATAAGATATACAAGACATACGTGACTGAGGCGCGGCCGATATGCTCCCTTTTCCTCCGCGCTGTTTATCTCCCTGTGAATTAATGGAATATTAAACATTTATTCTGATAAGCACATTTAGTTAAATCAATAAATATAATTGGGGAATAGTACAAATTAAAATAAATAACCGAAACCTCTCAAGAAAAAGCACAAATATTTCATTTCGGTTTCGAGATTTCCGTACTTAAAGTTTTGAACATTCCTAAATTTTAATCATTCGCGTATTTGATGCGAGCTGGTGAGGACTCCTACGCACGTATATGTTTTTTCCAGCCTCTACATTTGTAGATTTTTATGACGGTGACAACTAGTGACGCACTGTGAGGTATTCACACAATCGAAAGGGTGTCAAAGTAAAGAAATAATCAAGGAAGCTTTTATTTTAATTTATCAAACAAAATCTTGACTTTGAGTTCGAATGATTCGTCTTCATAATAATGGCGAAAATATTCAGTCAATGAGCACCGAATCCAAAAGTGCAATCTTCAGTATATGGGAACGTGAAGGTGAAGATGGCTGGTTGGTCACTCAATGAAAGAAAGTGGTGACGAATGCGTGACGTACAAAAAAATTAAGGCCAGCCAGTCTCGGGATCGGATTAAGGTATACTGTAAAGAAATAAATTCGAATTATAAATCTTGCGAAAATTACGAGGTAGCAAATTATAGCCAAAATAAATCATAAAAAATGTGAATTTATTTGTACAGAAAAAAACAAACCTGAGGTTTAAATGCCCAGTGTGGTGATCACTTTTTGAAGGTAGAATAATACAGGAAAATAGCGGAAATCAGTTTAAGGGGTGGGAAGTTGGACGAGAAAAATAGCTAGAACAGTAGAAGGTTTTGATGCTTGAGAAATTTTAGGTAAAGACTTAAAACTAAGATTTAACTAGAGATCTTTGCAAGTGACGTCACTACGAAACGCCCTTCTTGAGCAAAGACTGCTAAAAAAGTTTGAATAGGTTGATTTGAATAAATCATGAATTTATAACATGAAAGATTGAATATGAATTAATTTGAATTGTAACACTTAAACTAAGTCCAACTTCCCAACAGATTGAATAAATGAATTTAATAGAGCAAAAGAAATAAATAAAACGAAATTCAAACGACATTCATACAAACCAAGGGATAGAGAAACAGGTTTAAAGGAAGATGGTAGATACTTGAACGTTGATGCAGGTAAGTTGACAATCCGTTGAATGNTCCTAACCCCTCACCTCCAGCACATCCTAACCCCTCACCTCCAGCACATCCTAACCCCTCACCTCCAGCACATCCTGTACTGTTGGTTCCCGAAGATCACATCACATCGCCAGGCGCCAGCGGCCGCAGGCCAAATTACCAACTCAAAAAAAGCGACCATAAATAAAAATTTCATTTTAATAAAAATAATATCCGTGGCTTCACTGTACTTTTACGAAATGAAAATGGACAGAAATAATACACGGTAAAAAATGCACGGAAATAATCAATAGAAATTTTGTAATATTGTCGAATTTGAAAAATTATTCAGAATATTTTCAGAAAAAATTATTTGTTTCAAATGATTTGAATATTTTGTGTAGATGCCACATCCGACACCGTGCGTAGCTACCGCATCACTGGCATTGCGAGCGCTGTTGTATCATTGTATGCAAATAAGAACTTTTGGCTAGCAGCTCGGTAAGATATTTGTCTATTTATTGTTATCTAAGTCATTGTATGTTAATGAGCTATTCTCCAGGAGTCAACATGGATATATACAATAATGTGCGAGAACAAAAACCGAGATTTGCGGAAACGTAAAAGGTTTAGATAATTCAGACTTTGGATGATAGGATTTCTGAGAACATAATGTCGTAAGTCTCCCAGACAGATCCCAAGTAGTGTATCGTAAGTCCTCCATATGATCCTAAATATAATGTCGTAAGTCCACAAGACAGGGGCCATACTTTCAAAAAAAGTTAAGAGATCGTAAGTTCATCAGCCAATCATTGACGGCCTTTCAAGCAAAATCCACCAATCATGGACAAGAGAATAGTGCGTAAGTACTTACGTTCACTTAGCGAGTTTTGAACAATAAAACATCGAAAGTCCCCGTAATGATGAGGGCTGATGTGGCAGACGATGCTGGTCAGATGTCTGCTGATGCGGAGTGATGACGTGTCGCTTTCCACCCGGTATGCAAAATTTACATTTTTTTCAAATAATTTTAATATTTAACGCCCCAAATTATATGAGTAGATCCAAGCAAAGCTCATTGCCTATCGAGAAGCTCCGCTTGGGGCTGAAACATCTCCCATCCTCCACCCAATCTCAGTGATTGCTGAACCAATCACCACCCAATCTCAGTGATTGCTGAACCAATCACCACCCAATCTCAGTGATTGCTGAAGCATCTCCTATCCTCCACGCAATCTCAGTGACTGCTGAACCAATCACCACCCAATCTCAGTGATTGCTGAACCAATCACCAACCAATCTCAGTGATTGCTGAACCAATCACCACGCAATCTCAGTGATTGCTGATTCTCAGGAAGCAGATTACTGTCAAACGAGAAGGCTAAAATATGTTATTGACTTTTAAGGATAATGGAACAAATATGAAATATTACATTTTATTTCTTAGGAGACGGCCACGGAGCCAATCACAGCAAACATACCGAAGGTTCTTACGTCACGACAACCAGGGAGCCAATCACGGCGTACGAAAAACAAGTTCTTACATCACGACCATGGAGCCAATCACGACGTACGAAAAACAAGTTCTTACGTCACGACCAGGGAGCCAATCACTACGTACTAGAAACAAGTTCTTACGTCACGACCAGGGAGCCAATCACGACGTACGAGAAACAAGTTCTTACGTCACTACCAGGGAGCCCAATCACGACGTAAGGACAGACGGTTTTTACGCTACACCGACAAGGAGAGTATATCAACACAGATATATTAATGCGGAGAAAATAATAGAACAGCCAATCTCCCACCAGAGTCCGACCTGCAATCGTCAAGCACAATTAAAGACTTGAACTGTGCCAGCCAATCATCAATCTGGGTTTAAATAGCGCCAGCCAATCATCAATCAGGGCTTTAATTGCGCCAGCCAATTACCAATCAAGGATTGAACGGCACCAGCCAATCCCCCAACAAGGATTAGAATGTGCCAGCAATAAGCCATCAGGGCATTAAATGTGCCAGCCAATCAGCCATTAAGTCTTGAACAACTCCAGCCAATCGGCCATTAAATCTTGAACAACGCCAGCCAATCAGCCATTAAGGCTTGAACAACGCCAGCCAATCAGTCATTACGGCTTGAACAACGCCAGCCAATCAGAAATTAAGGCTTGAACAACGCCAGCCAATCATCAAACACGCATGACCTGCACTAAAAAACCAAACATCAGAGTTTGAACAGCTAAAGCCAATCAGCGACGTACATAACATATTCGCAACAATAATACAAATCCAATACACCGCACACAGCTACTCAGACAACTGAGTGAGAGAATGACTCACGGAAGCAAAATATTACGTTTTTTAAACACAGAAGTGCGTCAAGAAAAATTCAACGTAAGTGAGTCAATGGGTCGCATTATAGGAAAAACGGTGCACTCGCTTGGGCCATCTACTCACTCATTTAGCTGAGTGTGCAATATAAACACGTGCATGAATTATTCATCAAGATTCACGGTGCAAGCAGGCAACTCATGTCATAGTTTTTTTTAAATCATAGTAATTTTTTCTCTACAAAAAGGAACATTTCCAAGCGGAAAAAAGAACACATTTCCTCCACGGCCAATAAAAAAATATATTGTGCAGGAAAAACTAACAAGTTTCAGCTGTCAAAACAAACTCCACATCCAGCAAAAGATATTGAAAATATTTATAAAACTAACACGAATAAATCTAGTGAAACAAAATACGATGGCGCAAAAACTCATCGGGAACAAACGTAGGCAAAAATCTAATCTTCTCTATGAGTTTAATATAAAAAAATAAACCCAGGAAGACATAACTAAACATCTCGTCTCGACAAAGAAACAGGCAGAGAAAAAGACACAATAAGCAAAATAGAAGGAAAATCATTCCTAACGATGAAAACAACGCTTAAAACAAATTCCTTTCTACGATATAAAAAACTAACGAAAAAAAATCCTCCCAACATCTTAAGGCAATACTGAAAAACGCAGCGTCGTGGCGACAATACCTACTCTTTTTTCGAGGACATTTTACGCAATAAACTTCTTGGACGCTGAAATTTTCTCAAGAAAGACTTACGTTGACTAGTTTTTATGAACAATATTAGCGCATGCAATCAAAAATATCAGAAAAATAGGACCAGAAAATATATATCGGGCACTGTGTTCTTAATTTTACTGCAAAAGCTGTTAATCAAAAATCAAAATATATTATGTGATTCTAATGCATGAATATAAAACATAAAAGTAGTAATTACAGAGATCGTTAACAAGGACCATCAACTTCATGACAGCAATATTTAGCAATATAATAAAGAAAACATTATATTATAGTCAGCATAATTTTTCAATAGTTAGGTTAATATGTCTCCAGTAATGTGATTATTGAACATGTGTTTTGTTTTACAACATTATATTAATTATAACAGCTTCTTTTCACGACGGACAACGTCGCGGACAAGCTAGAGATACAAACCTGCCATGATATGATGCACGCAGAAACTTTAGTGTGTAAATGATAACATAATTACAGTGAGTGAATGTTTACTCACTTGAATTTATCTCAGTTTAAAGTGAATGCCCCATTCGTGTACTAGAAAACAAATGATAGAAAACAGACCACTTCTTGAGATGCAGGGGAGGGGTGGCGGAAAAATTAGAGTGGGAAGTGAAGTCTTCAAGTCTTCAGCGCTGAAGTCAGGTCAACGTCTGAGGGACTGAAGTCTGGTCAACGTCTGAGGGACTGAAGTCTGGTCTTCAACGTCAGAGGGACTGAAGTCTGGTCTTCAACGTCAGAGGGACTAAAGTCTGGTCTTCAACGTCTGAGGGACTGAAGTCTGGTCTTCAACGTCAGAGGGACTGAAGTCAGGTCTTCAACGTCTGAGGGACTAAAGTCTGGTCTTCAACGTCTGAGGGACAGAAGTCAGGTCTTCAACGTCTGCAGGACAGAAGTCTGGTCTTCAACGTCTGAGGGACTGAAGTCTGGTCTTCAACGTCTGAGGGACTGAAGTCAGGTCTTCAACGTCTGAGGGACTGAAGTCAGGTCTTCAACGTCTGAGGGACAGAAGTCTGGTCTTCAACGTCTGAGGGACAGAAGTCTGGTCTTCAACGTCTGAGGGACAGAAGTCTGGTCTTCAACGTCTGAGGGATAGAAGTCTGGTCTTCAACGTCTGAGGGACTTAAGATTAAAAAAGAAAAGAACAAGTCTACGATGAACGTCCAAGTTTCACACAGCCAGGTTCACTCCTCAGGTTCAGGGCTGCAGCAGCTCAGAGTCGGAACTTCTCTGGTTGCTGAGCAGCTGTTCTCGAGGTTCAGAGTAGCCGGCGGTCTGGTAGCTCTGCCCTCCTCCGGCTCTCAGAGCACCGTCACCTGGACAGAGTTGACAGATCAGACACGGAGAGGACAGAGTTGACAGATCAGACACGGAAAGGACAGAGTTGACAGATCAGACACGGAGTGGACAAAGTTGACAGATCAGACACGGAGAGGACAGAGTTGACAGATCAGACACGGAGAGGACAGAGTTGCCAGATCAGACACGGAGAGGACAGAATTGACAGATCAGACACGAGGTGGACAGAGTTGACAGATCAGACACGGAGTGGACAAAGTTGACAGATGCCAACAACAGACATCGGTAACAAGGATGGAATGCTAGAAGAGGTGACACAAGATCAACCCAGGCTGGTATAACTCGCTCACTTCTAAAATATCACAAAAGCCACAAAAATAAATTATGGTATTCACTATGATATTTGTATACTGAAATTTCCCTAATTATTATATTTGTACGTTCCCCAATTACCCCTCCTGATTACCAATATATTTGCACCTCTTCCCCTATTACCCCTCCTGATTACCATTATATTTGCACCTCTTCACCTACCGGTATTACCCCTCCTGATTACCATTATATTTGCACCTCTTCACCTACCGGTATTACCCCTCCTGATTACCATTGTATATTTGCACCTCTTCACCCATCACCCCTCCTGATTACCATTGTATATTTGCACCTCTTCCCCAATTACCCCTCCTAATTACCAATATGATATTTATATCTGTTCCCCTATTACCCATTTTAATGACTCACCAGCGTAGGCTGCGGACGCGCCGGACACCGACGTGTAGTCGTCAAAGTTTCCGTCACCGAAATATTTGTCGCAGCGACACAACGCCCCGCAGCAGTCCTGCGTGGGGAGAGTGTGGAGATACAGGAGGGCTTGGGGAATGTTGGGGAAAACAAAATAAAAAATATAACTCAGTACTCACTGCAGTGAGTGACAGAGAGCGCATTTTCTCGTGCATAAATCAGTTTTCATTGTGATTAGTACAGTGCATTAGAGCTAGAGGTGTCGTATCTTTGATACAGGCATGCCCGCTTCTTAAAATCGACGAAAACGTGAAGTCACGGACGGACAGACAGACAGACAGACGGACATGGCGAGCCCAATAGTGTATTTTTTCTATAAAGAGAAAATGCGCTAAAAATGAATCCCCTTAGGAAAGAAATCCCTGAATTTGTTGAGCCTCGGGTGAGAACATCTCAATTTGAATAGGAATGGAGTAGTGGAAGAAAATTTTGGGAGGAGTTGAATTGGGTAAACAAATATAGCGACGAAGCAGTATAATAAATATAACATACAACTGTAGCTCATAGCTCACTTCAACGCAAACCTGCTAGATTTTATCCATAGTTTGAAATAATAACACATGGCTTTTTAATATACACTAAAGACGAATTTAAAGGTGAAGTAAATAAGTAAATGAGATAAGAAGTGTTTCCATAATCGAGTGATATAATACGGACTTACGGCAAAGGCGTTTCCAGTCCTGAACCAGAACTCCTTATGAGGAACCTGATCTGCGCCTTTAGCCCCTTTGACGAAGCGCATGTAGGCGCCACCAAGGCACAAATAAGTCAAAAACAAGACCGTCATAATGATCAGGAAGACAGAGAAGCCCCCTAGACCCTGGTGAGAAGCTGAGCAGACCAACGAATGGGAGGCAGAGAGAGACGTGAAGCAACTGGCGCCAGGGGCAGCGTCCACGCGAAGCTCCAACGCCTGTAGCAGGAGATGGGTCAACTGATGACACACTTTTGAACGTGCCTCGCAATGACATTGCAAATAATATTGAAAGAACGCTGATTAATAATTGATATCGACGAAACAACGTTAAATCAACGTTATTTCAACGCTATAAGCCTGGTCGGATGTTTATTGCTAAGAGCCGAACGAACTCATGTCAACTAAAATGTAAAATATTCTATAAATATTTATTAACGTTGGTTCGTGTCTCTGAACTGAAGTCTTGCACCACAAACATACCAACAGCCCCATATATTCATAGCGCCATGCTTCAAACACACTAGCAAACACATAGACTTTGACATATATAAATAGTATTTCACACTCGACTTCAGTTATAAGGGAACAGTGGACACTATAAATTGGCAAGCCTTAATTTCTCACGTCACTTTTGCTCAGAAGCAAAAGTCTTATGTTCCTGGCTTTAGTGTTTCCATCTACTCAACATTTTACGAGTAACACAATACTTAACACTAAATACTCGCCTCGGAGACTTGTAACGCTCGGCGTAACAGTCGGTAACACCAAATACTCACCCCCGATACATCAGCGTTACAGGCGATCAAGAGCCTGACGCTCCTGTTACTCCCCGCGCAGGTTGGCGTGTTGTTGTACGACGTGTTGCTCAGCCACAGCAACTGCAGCCAGTCATCTGCCGGTGATAATAATAATAATAATAATAATAATAATAATAATAATAATAATAATAATAATAATAATAATAATAATAATAATAATAATAATAATAATAGCGGTTTCAGCGTTTATTAGGCCGTAGGCCTGTCGCCGATTCTTAACATCGCAGAAAATTCACAGCATTTTGAGGTCTCGAACTCGCAACTCACTGCTACAATTCTGCTGTGCTTAACCGCCCGGCCTCCTCGCCGATTCTGACCAGAAACTGGCGCACAGAGATGGGATCGAACCCGCACCTCTCTGCTCCAATCTTGGTACTCTGAACTTTAACCACTGGGCCACCCTGCCCTGATGCGTTGTATTCTTGTACGTAATACGAATATATAATAAATATGAGAATATATTTTTGATCTCCCGGCGCCAGCAATAAATTTTGTTCGACTCACTGAAAAAAACGAATAAGATGATTATTAATAAAACAACATGCTCTGGTCTTTAATCAAACTTGCAAAAAAAATAAGAGCTTCTGCCGAATTGAACCAATATATGAGAATATACATAAATACTTGTACGTATTTTAATTCACTGGTAACCGGCAACAATAAACGATTAATTAATTATAATAAATTACCCTGGCAATGAGAAAAACGCGGGCGTTTCTATTGCTATATATACCATAATAATTAGCTGAAAAAACTGAGTGAATTTATGGCAGAATCGCTCATTGCTACATACATACTATTGGGTATCATGATTGGGCATCAACCATCAGCAACCACACAAAACAACCACCATCATCAATAACCATCATCAATAACCATCATCAATAACCATCATCAATAACCATCATCAATAACCACCATCAATAACCACCATCAATAACCACCATCAACAACCACCATCAGCCACAACAATCAGCAATTACCATCAGCAACCACCATAAACAACCACCATCATCAATAACCATCAGCCACAACAATCATCAGCATCACAGCAACAACCATAAGCACCAACCATCAACCACCACCACCAGCACCACGGCTACAATAGCTTCCGTACCTCCCTGGCTGGCGATGGTTCTGTTGCTGAGGCCGACGACCATCCTGCTGGTGCCGTTCACCTCCACGACCGCAGACTGCGCTAGATCTGACGCAACGTCCGCCCCGCACACCGAGACCAGGTAGCTTACGCCTCCTGCACCCTGAGCCTTAAGCCTGCCGGGGGGGGGAAGTGACAGGGTGAATGGCAGAGAGAGTGGCAAGCACATGAAAGTCGAATAAACATGTAGGTTTTTAAGCTGAAATAGCAACATGATGTAATGGGCACCTCCAGAATAGTGACACGTTACGTTTGAGAGGGAGACGGTGCGAGGTTCCCCCATTTAATAACCGAGCCGCGGCCAGAGAACAGACTCTTCGTGAGGGATCACTGTCCGTGGTAGGACCGAGGCTCTTTAATGCCTTGCCAAAAGCGCTGAGAGGAGGGGAGTTTACCCTTGCAACATTCAAGAGACGACTGGACAAGTGGTTGAGCAAGATCCCGGATTGTCCAGTAATGGGAAACTACCCTCAGCAAGTGACAAGCAACAGCATCTTGCATCAGCTGGCCCAAAGGAGGGTAAATAGACGGAACACGTCCAACGTTACATCTGGGACCCGAGGGCGGGGTGACCTGCCTAGCGAAGACTCGGAGATGGAGGACGATGAAGGCGGTGTATAAGCGTGAACGGGGACTAGGAAGTCCCGAACTCATCATAAGGTCATAAGAACCGTCAGTCTGGCGC